CACCGTTTCCAGGAAACATGTCGTTCAAACCGGAAACCGTAGCAAAACGGTGCACACCGGTTTGAGCTTGAACGTGCCTCTGCACTGGCCATCTGGAGGAAATTACAACACAGGATACTATTAAAATCTCATAAAAAATGAAAAGAGTTCTTCTTTTTTGGCACAGCCCAGGTAAACATGCCTTATTTGATCATGTGGCACATTAGAAAGAAATGTTCAATAGAAAATCCTTTGACAATACCTACTTTAAAGGGGTCGTATGATGTTGCTAAAAAGAACATTATTTTGTGTATTTGGTGTAATGAAATGTGTTTATGCTGTTTAAGGCTCAAAAAACACATTATTTTCCACATACTGTACATTATTGTTTCTACTCTATGCCCCGCCTTTCTGAAACGCAACAATGTTTACAAAGCTCATCGGTCTGAAAGTGCTGAGGTGTGCTCTGATTGGCCAGCTATCCAGTGCATTGTGATTGGCCGAATACCTCAAGCGTGTGACGGAGCCGTTTTAGGTAGGCGTGGTTGATTCTTAACTTCTATAAAGAATATCTCTTTGGATTTGAGACTTTAGTCTTTGCAACTTTACAGATCTTCTTTATGCACCAAGAGCTTGTAACACTCCAAAGAGAAAGGAAAAATTGAAATCGCATCATATGACCCCTTTAAGGTTCTTAGGCAAATAAAAAAGCTATCACAAATGACAGCCATAAAGATTGGGGATAAACTGAGTTTTTTGTCAAAATTATGTTTGATAATTTTTACTAATTCACAAGCTTTTATCCAGCCTCAGAAATGTGAATCACTCAGTCATTGTGCTATCATTAATCATCTAAAGACGCTGAATAAGAGATTTAGCTTAAAAGTGCAAAGAGTGTAAATATGAAAAGACAGGAACTCTCTCCTCCCATTTCTCTCTGTTCTGTAAAAATTATGACTTTTCCACTGCTAATAACGTCAATTGAAAAGACCTATGCATTGCATTTGTTAGACTGCTGCTGACATCTACTTTTGTAGCACTAATTACATTAGTGTTATTTTGAATTTTTCATCTTAGAATTTTTCATGGCTTGGGAAAACTGATAATTAGAGATATTAGCTGCATCTGAAATGGCATACTGTCTAGTAGGTACTATATTGGTTTGAAACTTACTTTTCAATGGTTAAAAAATGTTTTATATAGTATGAAAATGGGTAGTATGAATGAAATTTAGATGTACTACATCCACCATGTTGTTACTTTCACGTGACCTACCAGTGTCCGTTGTGTCCCTTCACTGCCATTCAAAAATCCTCTCCTGTGGCCTCATGGGATAGTAAAGTGTCCACTGATGTTCTCTTCATAATCTCGGCGGATGTTGTAAGTCATCTAAGGTACTTTTCGCCAACTGTTCTTTTTCCAATACTATGAATTCGGATACACGTGTTTTTCACCTACTATATTGTATGAAAGGCATGGACACAGGGCTTGTTTATATTTCTTCCTATAAGTTCAAGAAGGTTCTTTCTTTATATTTGTAAAAAAAAAAAACACAATGGATAGCAACACATTTGTGACCATAAACCACTTTGGTTGTACATACATTTGTGACCACTTTGGTTCTACAAAGATATAACGCTTAAAGTACAGTATTGAAACGCGTTTAGATTCCGCCTGTCCCTGCGATCAACAGGTTGCGGCACCCGCGAACTCCGACTCTCGCTGATGTGCAGCTTGTTGCTATTTACATTTACCTCTTGCACAACATAAATTGTCTTTTGACGTACCTAGCACAGTAAGGTAATCGTCAACGACCTTAAAGAGGTTTTAAACACGTATTAAAGTATTTTTGTTTCAATTATTGTTGAATAATGAAAGTATTAATAGCTGACAGTGATTCGGAAGCAAAGCTTTCTGCAACGTACTGTTGCTATGGATACCTGTTTAGACCAACGCAACTTCTGTTTGCAAAGCGATTTAAATTGAAAACATTGTTGAAATGTGTATATATAGCCTATATTTAAATACAGATAATAATACACCCTTTTAAAATTCATTAGGTACAGTATATCATTATTATTAACCTAAATTAGGGGCCTCTGACCCACCAAACTATAATTCGTGTTTCTACTTTTTAGTCTGTGGGCCTCAGTACTCGCTCTGGCAGTTGATATCTCCTCTTTCAGATGGCTATTCTTGGGACAGTCCCCTACCCGACTGTAGTGGGGGGCGGATTAGGTAGACATACTGTAAACTACACTTCATAAACAGGGATTTCAGTTGAATGCTTTGAGCTGAAAACCATCTTACCTTAATTTATTTATATAGCGCTTTATACAAAACATCTTACCTGCGTAGTGATCGAATACAGTGGGTACATATTCCTCGGGAAAAGCATCATTTGCGTAACTCATCAGCAAACAGGTTTTGCCCACAGCTCCATCGCCGACCACAACACATTTCAACATCTTTTTGGCCGTAGTATCGAGAGGATCTCTGTTACTGCCTCTATCCTCAACCGCTTCCACTGCATTCTGCCTACTTTTCGAGCTGAGAGTAGGCATGATAGTTGGACAAGTCCAGAAACTATAGGCTATTCTCCACAGGTAGCCAAGTCTTCGGTCGACAAGAAATCTCAGTCTTTGAGACGGTAGTCTTCGTGTGACCAGTGTTTAAACACTCGAGTTGGCGTGTCGAACGGTGCGCAGGCAAATCCGTCAAGTAGGTGACCCACGCTTTAGCGCGCTCTTCCAAAACAATCCCCCGCCATCGACCGCAGTTTCATGAAAACTCACGATAACTCCTACAACTTGCATTCCGATAGCCTATTTTACACTTTCCTGGTCCGACGACGAAACCGTTGCATATTCGGTGTCTGTGGCTCCGGGTTATTTCCTTCGTACTCCAAACAGCTTTCCACATTCGCCCCTACGCGGCTACGCATCGTCAGTGTCAGGAAATCATTGGTTTCATTGCGAATTCCATATTAGGCAGGAGTGGGCTGGGAACAATAGTGGCTCTATCCACAGCCTACTCAGACAGGGGACTCCAGCGGCACAGGAGGGGCTAATCTAACTGCATTTCCTAAAATATGGCGCCACAGAGAAGGATGGCACGAGTTGGATTTTCATTAATTCATTCACTTTCTTTCTTTCTTTCTTTCTTTCTTTCTTTCTCAAGCTAACAGCAAATTCGTTTTTCAAGCTAACATTAATTTCCCGATTTATAATTCAATAATCAATAGCCTAATTTATCTAGCCTATATTTTTTTATTTATGATTTTTTTTCAGTGTTCCTATTTTTTATAAGGCGATATTCTCGTGATGAAATGCACTTTAACCTCATATTAATTCATGTGAAATTTTGTTGAATAAACAAGTTTTATAAAATATTCACGATGCACCTTCCTTAAGTTCATGTATTGTATAGTAACTCACTTTAACTGTTAAATTAAATTTTTGCTCACTTAAGATGACATTTACATAATGTTCAGTAACTCTCAAGTTTCCATGTTACTAATTCGCGCGCAAAAGGCACCATCTGTTGCATGTGTTGCATCTCCATGGCACCGGGCATCGCGCTCGAGATTCCTGTGCCAGTCAATTTTTATTGTTACTGCTCGCGAGTGCGCAGGCGCCAACCAGGGGAGCGCGGAGCCTGCAGAACTGCGAGCGCTCCGTGGTACAAAGGACCCATACCAGGCAGCCACGGCGCAGCGTTACCATGATCTTCTCCATCCCACCGATACATTCCCATCCCGCCTGCATCACTTTAACGACCAGCTTCCAGCAAGTCCGCGAGCCTGACCGACGCTGCCCAGCCGCAGAATGCACGGGGGAAAAAGAGGACTGGTGGCACCACAGAACACTTTTCTGGAAAATATTGTCCGTCGCTCAAGTGGTAAGATAATCGCTTTCTTCAGATTGCAGTACCTGACTTTTTTTTCTAACTTTAATTGTGCCCAGAATTATGCGTAAAAGTCAAGCTCGTGAGTTTATTTCCATAAAAATGGGAAACCTAAATTTTTTTCTGATCAAAGTAAGATTAAATATTTACATATGACGCACCTAAAGTCACTTCTACATAGGCTAATCTTCTTTATTGAGTGCTTAATTAAACATTAAAAACAGAGAGCTGCAAAACAGAAAAACAGCTAAACTTGATTGCTCTAATAATAGTAATTAAACACAGTTAACAACACATTGCTCAATCGCTTCTCAAAACATGATCTTTACTATTGCTATCCATTAGGCTATCAGCATTAAGGTATTAATGCATCAGTAAGACTTGATTATTTGATGACATCAACAACCTACAGTCGGCATGAATCTCACGTAATCTCAAAACGTCTTTCTTTCTTTCAATCACCATCAAGCTAACAGCAAATTCGTTTTTCAAGCTAACATTAATTTCCCGATTTATAATTCAATAATCAATAGCCTAATTTATCTAGCCTATATTTTTTTATTTATGATTTTTTTTCAGTGTTCCTATTTTTTATAAGGCGATATTCTCGTGATGAAATGCACTTTAACCTCATATTAATTCATGTGAAATTTTGTTGAATAAACAAGTTTTATAAAATATTCACGATGCACCTTCCTTAAGTTCATGTATTGTATAGTAACTCACTTTAACTGTTAAATTAAATTTTTGCTCACTTAAGATGACATTTACATAATGTTCAGTAACTCTCAAGTTTCCATGTTACTAATTCGCGCGCAAAAGGCACCATCTGTTGCATGTGTTGCATCTCCATGGCACCGGGCATCGCGCTCGAGATTCCTGTGCCAGTCAATTTTTATTGTTACTGCTCGCGAGTGCGCAGGCGCCAACCAGGGGAGCGCGGAGCCTGCAGAACTGCGAGCGCTCCGTGGTACAAAGGACCCATACCAGGCAGCCACGGCGCAGCGTTACCATGATCTTCTCCATCCCACCGATACATTCCCATCCCGCCTGCATCACTTTAACGACCAGCTTCCAGCAAGTCCGCGAGCCTGACCGACGCTGCCCAGCCGCAGAATGCACGGGGGAAAAAGAGGACTGGTGGCACCACAGAACACTTTTCTGGAAAATATTGTCCGTCGCTCAAGTGGTAAGATAATCGCTTTCTTCAGATTGCAGTACCTGACTTTTTTTTCTAACTTTAATTGTGCCCAGAATTATGCGTAAAAGTCAAGCTCGTGAGTTTATTTCCATAAAAATGGGAAACCTAAATTTTTTTCTGATCAAAGTAAGATTAAATATTTACATATGACGCACCTAAAGTCACTTCTACATAGGCTAATCTTCTTTATTGAGTGCTTAATTAAACATTAAAAACAGAGAGCTGCAAAACAGAAAAACAGCTAAACTTGATTGCTCTAATAATAGTAATTAAACACAGTTAACAACACATTGCTCAATCGCTTCTCAAAACATGATCTTTACTATTGCTATCCATTAGGCTATCAGCATTAAGGTATTAATGCATCAGTAAGACTTGATTATTTGATGACATCAACAACCTACAGTCGGCATGAATCTCACGTAATCTCAAAACGTTTATTTGCGTCAGTTGACTCATGTAAAAAATGCGTGGATTTTTTTTTTGTGTGGAGTCACACAAACAACTATTTCGTCACACAAACAACCTTTCTAGCTTACTTTTGTTAAACTTTAAACCAAATATTTAAACTGTTACATTAAGTTTATTGTGGTTAAATGGATATGTGACTATAAATATATTTTTTTAATTTTTATATTTTGTATTTTTTAAAATGTATTTATGCTGTGTAATCACTTTTTAACAGTGTATATTTTTTATTTTCTATATTTTTATATTATTATTATTATTTGTATTATTATTATTATTATTATGATTAGCTACTATTATCCAAACAGTCAAAGAGGCTCTAGAATCATCCTGGGTTTATCTGCATGTTCAATGCTCAGGTGTTTGTATCATCAAATTATTTTTGATCATAGCAAAAGTTAATCTAAAGGTGATGCAGTTGTTCTTGGCTGTTTCGCTGTGGATCTTCTCATGTATGGAAGGCTTGGCACCTGTGGTGTGAATTGCAGTCATTTTGTCTCACATACATTTTCCATGTGAATCTGCCACAGGTTCTGTAGGAGTTTGTGTAAAAGGACCTCACCAGCAGAGGTCACACATGATTACTGCATCAAAAGCTATTAATGTCTCTTCTCTCGGTTTCACATCAATACACAAACTTAAAAGTTGGAGACACAAATTTGGGTATTTTTGTATACATTGAGACCAGACAGTTCTTTCTAACGAACTGTGTGTGTTTATGTGCTAATGTGGTGCTCTCTCAGCTCATAATACCATGCCCTGACATTTGCCGTGGGCAGCTCTCTGACCTCCGAAGGTCTCCGGATCTCCCACACACTCTTTACTAAATCTGACGCAGAGCTTGCGTCTTTTGAGAAAAAAAGGCTCCACATTGTTTTTTATAAATTCTAATCGCAGTCATTGTAGTAAGGAGATGCTGATATTTGTATTCTGTGAGCTCCACTGTCCCTGTGATCATTGTTTAATGTTTAAGTGATGCAGTGAGTGGAAGAATTTCTAATTCTAGTGCAGATGAAGTTGTTCGGCAGATCTCATATTGTTTCTGGACATCCTCCCCTCATCCCATTACTAATTCAAATATGCTGACAGCATCTTTAATTGGCTGGATAATTGATTCTTGCGTTTAAATTTACATTTGTTTTCTTGTCATAGGCTTTTTAAATAACGAATTTAATAACTAATAACTAATAACTAATAACTTCCAATTTAAGTGCATGCATTCTATATCTGGATGAATGAACACTTTTACAGCCATCAGTACAAGGCACAAGTCAAAGACAAAGTCAGGAGGAGTCAAGAAGTATGTATTGCCTGTCAAGAATAAAAATGAGAGGTTGCATGTAATTAAAAGGAAAGGTTAGTGTCTTCCTTCCCACAATTTCACCAAGGTACATTTAAAAATGTATCTAAAGCCTGTGCCGATATGCTGCCAATGAGCTGCCAGCTCCAACTGAGGCTCCATGCTGACAGTGGTACAAATTTAAATTTAGGAGTGAAGAATAGATAATGTATAGATGATGAGCATTCCAAAATTCTCCTTGTGAAACGTTTTGGAATTGTAGCGCTGATAATTATTTACAATCTGATTATGCAGCTATAAAAAGCCAATAGTGTGCAGGTGGTAAATAAAGGATGTGTAGTTAAGGTCTTTTATGTTGTCTTTATGAAGTTAGTGGTAGTAAGGTATAAAAAAATATATTTTTCAGAAAGATGAGACGTGGTTTGGTTTGACTTCAAAAAACGAAAAGTAAAAAACACCACCTTTGTCATTTTCATTGAAACCCAGAAACACCCACAGGCTTTAAATTGCACTTGGCAGGAAAGTTGAACAGGGTATAATAAGCCATGCTATCAAAACTCTGAATTATTGTCAATTATGTAATAGCCAAAAATTATCCAGTCTCTGAGCATAATTCAATCAAGATTTTAAATTGCTCAAGCAATTTGTTTTTCATATACCTCTTATATCACCACACGCAGCATGTCCACCTCAAAATAATGAAGCCTTCCACGAATGCAGCTGTTGAAATGATGTAGGTGTTTCTGAGGCTTTGTGTCTCTGTCCCTCATTTACAACCCAACTCCTCCCTGTAGTTCTTCTCCTTTGTTTGCGGACAGCAGAGTTTGTTTGAGTTTTGCCAGCCCACTTAGGGGAATCGAGACACACAGCTGGGGGGTAAACAAAGTCAAATTTCATAAAGCTTTTTACCTGTACATATCATTGTTAGAACAGCAAAAGCAGTGCATATTTCCCTCCAATTTTCTTATGCAAGTAGAGAAACAACTGTGCTGAGTTTTAGTGTGTTGGAGAAACTTTTTGTAGTCAGCTTGATGTTTGGCTAATCAATGACAGCAGGGTTCTCACTGACTGGGAAATTAAATGATTTCAA